GCTCAATCCTGCAAAGAGCCATCGATGCGTCGGTGTGCAAATTAGGTCACAACGCTGCGCGCAGCGTTGACAATCACTCAGCGGCCTCTGTCGCACGACTGCCGGCGAAGGCAACAGCTTTGGGCAGAATGAGAAGCACACTGCTGCGCGTGCTCGCATGTGGTTGCAGCCAATTCAGAGCAACACAAATCTGCGAGACCGACCGTGCCGCTGACTATCGAAAACATGCAGTTTCAGGAGTTTCGCTTCGAAAGCGCTTTGTTTGAAAAAACGTGTCAAAACGCGCCAACGGCGCCAAAACGCGCCACCTGACCGATCTCCCTCACCACTGCGACTTGCTTAGCTGTGGACAACGCGAAGAGCGCTTCCGCGAGGAGCTCGAGCTCGAAGCGCTCTGAAAAAGGGCTTGGAGAGCTGGCAACACCCCCAGCATCACCAGCATCACTTGGACCTGGGGCTGCCTCTTGGTCTGGTTTCATGGCAGTTGGGAGTTGCCGGGGGCTGGTTAGTTAGGGCGGCTTTTGGCTGGCTTAGATCTTCATGAGGGTGGGTGTTGAGGTGGCTAGGGGTTGATTTAAGCGAAGCGAAGGGCTGACATCTAGGATGCTGTTGGGCGGGTTTATATAGGGTTGACTTTGAGTGGGTTTGGGTTGGTTTGGAGCTGATTCGGGTTAGGTGTGCTGCTGGTTTAGCAGCGGCTTTTGGGTTGCTTGAGGGTGTGGAGCAAAGATACCCGCAAAACATACGCGTCGCCCGCAAGGTCTTTTTTTAACATGATCGTGCTGGCAGGCTTAGGGTTCTTAGTGTTTGGGTTTAGGGTTTTTAGGGTTTAGGTTTACGGTCTTTAGGGTTTAGGTTTAAGGTTTTTAGGGTTTGGGTTTTGGGTTGTTAGGGGTTTAGGTTTAGGGCTCTTAGGGTTTGGGTTTAGGGTTTTTAGGGTTTAGGTTTAGGGTTTTTAAGGTTTTTGTTTAAGGTTTTTAGGGTTTGGGTTTTGGGTTGTTGGGGTTTAGGTTTAGGGTTTTAGGGTTAGGTTTTTGTGGGTTTAGGTTTAGCGTTTTTAGGGTTTAGGCTTAGGGTTTTTAGGGTTTCCAGGGCTTTTAGGGCTTAGGTTTAAGGCTTTTTTCGGGTTTAGGTTTAGGTTTTTAAGGTTTAGGTTTGAGAGTTTAGAGTTTTTAGGGTCCAGGTTTAGAGTTTTTAGGGTTTAGGCTTAGGGTTTTCGAGGGCTGGCTTGTCTGGTTTAGGTTTAGGGTTGTGTTGATGATAGCACTATATAACCAGGAAAAGTCGCCGCGCTCCATGAAGGGGGTGTGGAGCATGGAGGTGGGATGTGGGCCCGGCAAGCTCGGAAGTGCGTTTTTGCTGCGCCTGCCAAGCTTTTTTGAGGTCCGGGCGGTCGCGGGCAACACATACGTTTTGGCCGCAAAGATAGTATTGTTAGAGCGCAAAGAAAAGTGTAACACTAACTCGCTCACAGAACCAGTTGCAATATTTCATAGCCGGTATTGCGCTCATTGTAACGCTTGTTGTCGCTTTCTCCCACTCTGCGCGCACATCAGTGGCCGGGGCCTGCCGAAATCTTCGGGCAGCCTGAGCCCGCGTGATTTGCTTCACACTTACTTTAAACAAGCTAATTTAAAGCTAGAAACGCGGGTAGAACTCTTTCCTTATCAACTTCTACTACGTGGAGAGTTGCAAACCCACTCGGAAACGGCACGCTGTTGAAAGCCTGAATTGCCATCAGAACTGCAATTCAATCTAAGCGAGATCCTCTTGAGAAAGCAAGTGCTGTAAAACATATGATAGTATTCTTTCCTTGTATCATGCCACTCAAAATTAAAACACGCGTAATTTAGAAAACTTCCCTTGGTGAAGAAAATCCTCAAAATATTGAAGCCATTTTTACCTGCGACATCCTCTTTAGACTCCATTTGCGGTTTCTGTCCAAAGAAGACAGAAAGTCCTTTCTAAATGTGACAATTGAGAAACGCTTCCTGAGAATGGAGAGCAAATTGAAAACTTGAATCGGGGTACGAACTCCAGTTGAAATCTACATGCAACCGTCTACAAAAAGAAAGCCGTCTTAGGATTCGCATTTCTGCTGGAATTCCTTCCTCGTTAAACTTCACTTAAACTCTAACTCGAAAATTGACAAACATCTGCCTGGGAAAGGAACCTTCTTGAGATTTCTATTTAACAAGAACTTCTGTAAGTTTAAGCAAACCGACTTTGTAAGCAAATCCCATTGCCATCCCAAGTGAAGCTTGAAATTGCGCTAGAATTCCCGCCCTAGCAACTGGAATTTGAACTGAAGATAACTCTGGGTGGCTAATTGGAAATTGGCAAGGAACCTTCTTAAATTTGGACAAGATTGAAGTTTACTAAAAGCCTGCTTTCACAAATGCAACCAAGATGTCTTTGAAGCTAGAAGTTCTGCTATGTGTTTCGCTGAAAAAGTTCTATTTCAATTCACGTTAGAAAATGAAGCCTCCTTCTGTGGAACAAATCATTTTCAAAGCCTCGGTTTGAAACAATGACTGTCGTTAAAACCCTTCTTCAAAAATAACGAAGTCGTGTTGACTTTCTATTTGAACAGAGGAAGTCTCCCGGAACTACCTCCTTCTGAAACTCTCTTTCAAATTTACTCCAATCGAAAATTGCAAACACTGCTGAACAACACTTCCGGTCGACACTTCTGAGCACTACTGATGGACATGTGTGAGCAAGACTTCTGACCCACACTTCTATTCGACACTCGCGCGCATCGACACTTTTGATCAACACCTCCGAGCGACACCTCTGAGCGACACGCTGAGCAACACTTCTGATCGACGCTTGTAATCGGCACTTCTGAGCGACGTCCTTTCTGGGCAACACTTCAAACACTTCTGATTCCTGGTCGACACTTCTGAGTGACACTGCCGAGCGGCGCTTCTGAGCAACACTTCTGGTTGACGTTTCTGATCAACAATTTTCATCGACGCTTCTGAGCAGCACTTCTGAGCAACTCTCCTGGTCGACACTTCTGCTTGACACACCTGAGCAACACTTTCGACTTCTGATCGACACTTCTGATCGACACTTCCGAGCGACACTTCCGAGCGACACTTCTGAGAAACGTGGCTCGTCGCGTCTCTCGCCGTCTTACACGCACGCTGCGCCACTCAACCCTCCCAGAGGGTTCACTTCGCGCGCTCAAAAACAAAAAGCGCGCCGCGCCACAGCGAGAGCGATTCGGCCCGCCCCAAGAGCTCAAGGGTTCACCTTGCGCTCGCGCAGCGCGCCGCGCCGCAGCGACTCGATCTGTTCAATTTGATGCGCCTGCCAAGAACCTGCACCCAAGCGCCAAAGTACTGCGCCCGCAACACGTGCGCACAAAGCTCCAAAGCGCCGTGCCTGCCACGAAGCTGCGCCTGTCACACAAAGTAAGCTTGCCATGAACTCAAATGCACCTGCCACGAAATCCAACTTTGACACGTTTACGGCATTTATCCAAAGCTAGCACGGGACTGCGCCCCGGAATGGTCTCGACCAGTTTTAGCACATTTCAAGCTCACCAAAACGAGCAGACTGTACAACAGGGCCAACGAAAACGATGCCAGCGCAAACACTATCACGCGCCCTCCAAACGACCGCCCCTGGAACGCAAATCCCAATGGCACGGTAACGAGAACACGCAGTCTTCCAGGCACTGCGCCTGCGCAGCGAAATGACACGCAACGCTGCAAAAGACACGCAATTCACGCCCGGGCAAGAGATTGAGCCGAAATTGAGCACTTCAAGACTCGGGAACCCCAACGGCGTGGCAACTTTTTTCCACATAGGCGGACTCGGCCACAGGCGAGCCGACCAGCAAACACGACCTTACACCCAGACACCATGCAATATCGGGAACCCTTCGCTATGCGTTCGGGAAAAGAACGAACGAAACAACGAGAAAAAGAGAAAAAGAGGAAAGACAAAGAGAGGCAGAAAGAAAGAAAGAAAGAAAGAAAGAAAGAAAGAAAGAAAGAAAGAAAGAAAGAAAGAAAGAAAGAAGGTAAGAAAGAAATACAGTCAACATGAAAACCAAAAAATAAGTCACGATGCAAATAATGGCAAAAAAAGGTGGGAAAAGAACACAATACCTAATAAACAATAGAATTACTGACATAAGTACATTGGAAAAAACCTCAGCAAGACATAAATCAATGAATCTCAGAGAATAGTTGAATGGTATTTAGGAACGGCAACACCACACAAAGACAGAAAAAAGTGAAAAACAACATGCTTTCTTGTTGTTTAACAAACGCATAGTACACACCGACAAAACAAACAAAGGCAAGAAAGCAAACAAGAACACCAGCCACCAAGCAAGGAGGCAGGCAGGCACGCCAGCTCGTACGATACCGCAAACACACGCCGCCAACCTCGCCAACCTTACTAACGAAGACAAACAAGCATTTCCTTTGCAGGGAACCTCGCCGGGGGAACATAAGCTCGGATCTGGCCACCGAGGAGTGGAGCAACCGGAAGCCCAAAGAACTACCGCTCTTGGCAAGGGAAGAAACCCGTGGCACGCGTGCACGTAAGTCACGCGTAATTCGGCATATGTACATACCCTGACCATTTGTGGCAGGTCGATATAAGCAGGACCCTAAACGCGCTACAGCGCACCCTTACCTTACGCCCACCCTAAACAAACCCCAAACCAATACCTGCGCTAGATCCCAATTCAACCCCTCAACTAAACCTATTCCAACGTCGAAAGCGAACCAGTCCTAAACCACGATGCACCATCCAATTGTAAACCCACGGGCCTACACCAACCCAAACCCCATACTGAACCATCTTTACGCCACCCCCAACATACCTTAAACTTACCCGTGACAGCCCTATCCCAACCTCTTAAGCCCCCCAAATCCAGACAAGCCTAAGCCTGAGCCAGCCCTCATCTCCCCTTCGCCTACTCTGATTGAGGAAACAATTTCCTTGAAGAAGAACGGCGCGCTGGGCTCCACGGCATACATCTCCAAGCCGTCTTTGGAGCGCGCCCGGATGGGTGGCTTCACGATCGGCGGAAAGGCGCTTTGTGACGTGGCCTGGTGGTGTTGAAAGCGGTCTGCGCTGCTAAGTCGCAAGACACCCTGAGTTCAGACATTGTTGCCAACCTTCGGAGGAACAACCAAGGCAGATGCTATACGCTGCACTGCTCTTTTGTCTTTGGCAGTCCTGCACTCCTTGTGTGGTGGTCGTGAAGTACATGGTCTGGAAGGTGGACGGATATTCCAAGAGCGCGTTGCCCAAGCCGATGAACCTGCAGCCCAAGCCTAACCAACGAGCCGTTAGAACGAGTGGCACGTTGGCATGTTTTGTCATGCCCGCCTTAGGCCAGCCTGCGTCACCTTGGTTTGAGGCGAAGGGAAGCAGGAACCTCTTGACTGGGAAACTGAAAGGCTGAAGGCTCTTGCTTTTGAGACATGTTGAGACACAGAATGTCAAAGCCCGCACCGGAAAGAACAGCGAAACAGGTTTGAGGCGAGATGCAGGCTCATCCAGAATGCTTTGCGAAAGCCAAATCCTCAGGCGCCGCCGACTCGGAACAATCCCGCATCCCTTTTTTCAAGCCCTTTCAAAATTAAGCTTGACCTGAAGACCAACAAAGTTCCTTGTTTTGGCAATAGGACATGGGAGTTTGCGGTGGGCCCACGGGCCTTTGCTTCCCACCATGTCACCCCCAAGCAAAGACTGCCTTTCATGTTGACAGTTGCTCAACAGTCCTTGCTTCCTCAATGTGAAGCGCGCCCCTGGACTGTAAGTCTCCGGCAAATGAACAGCATATCTCCCCTGCTCCATTGACCTTGGATGAGCTGAGGACAACATTGACCTGGACTTGTGATGATTCATTGTGAAGCATTGCTGTTGTGAAGACTGCGCGTGGCGCGTCGGATTACTTCTAGAACTGTCAACACAACAAGGGTCTGCTTGCCATGTGAGGGAAACATGGTTGCGACGGCCATCAAACTGGCCGTTAAATCAAATGTCTACTCTGTGTGCGCTTGCTGCTTGCTTGCTTGGCTTGGCTTGGCTTGGCTCTGGTCTGCTCTGCCTGCTTGCAGTATTTGCTCGTGTGCTTGTTTGTTGCTTGTTTGTTTGTTTTGTCTGTCTGTTTGATGCGCGTGTGCGCGCGTCTAATCGTACGCATATCCAATGTCTTTGCCTAGCAAGCATGGACTGAAAAACAAACAAGTGTCCCGACATGGGTCTAGGCTGAAGCTGGCTCAGGGCGCGCAAGGGGTCATGCGCTGTCTCGTGATCATACCTCCTAACGGGCAGGAATTTCTCTGTAACGGACCTGAGGGCAACTAGGGCCCCTGTAGGGTTCCAAACAACGGCGCGCAGCTTCGCAACAGCTACCCTCGCTGCCAAGGATCTTCAGGGAGAGTATGACGGCCTCAGCCGACGGTGGGGCGCAGCTGGATTGCGCAAGTCCCATGCATCCCAACTGTCTCAAAAGGAACGCATGCCTAAGTGGAAACGCCGTGACCGCGCGCAGCTTCAAAACGGGTGTCATATCCGTAAGTGCGTCTGCAAAGTGGGCCGCCGACTATGATGGCAAAGATTGCCCAAAAGCAACCTCGGCAAACAGTCGCCACCGTCGAAACACTACAAGTTCTTCGAACGATCATTCTCGCAAGGATGTTAAGTGGTGGCAAGTCGAGTCTGAAAGTTGCAGGACTGCGTGACTCAGTGATGGGAATCCTTTGGGTTTAAGATCCTTTTTCAAACGGCGCGCAACACATCCTTGTTCCCAACGCAAGCAAACACCCAGCACAAACCGGTCGCACTGTCAGAAAGTCATGCGCCGGGCTTGTTATGGGTGTGCTGCGAGGAGAGCGAGTTCGGCCAGGAGGCAACAAAAGCAACTACATGCTTTGAAGATCTGAATCTGCTCAATGCCCATCTTGGCACCTGGGTGTGGCAAACAAATCATGGTATCAGATCCGATGGCTACTGAGGATCCAACGATGCGGATGTGCCCAAGAAGAGGCGAGGTTTGAGCACGTTCAGCTACGGTCTTGTGACCAACACGCACATGGCCACATCTTGGACCACAGAAAGTCTCGCGAACTCAGGAAACTTCCCATCCCCCGCCCTCTTGTTGTCGTCAAGCTGTCCTGCTTCACAGTCACAAGTGGGAGGGGCCAACTGCATGCAATTCTGGCAGCCCAGTGCTTTCTAACAGTGAGGACAGGAGTTTTTCTGGTCAACAAATGGAGCTAAACTTCGCATTCCCCCGAAACAGTTGTTGTTGGGTACTTCGCACTGTCAAACGGAACGAGCTCCCTCCCTTATAGCACCACGCTTCGGTGCGTCGCAGCATCTGCAGCCCATGGACATGCTGCCCAACCCTGTTGCCGAGACCCTCTCCGCCCCCGCCTGGCGCATCAGTGGCACAAAGTGCCGTGCTTCGCAAACGCCATGCGCCTGCACCGCGTTTCGGTTAAGCAGACACTGACCAGTAAACACTTTTCTCGTGGAATGCTCACATCTGCCATATTTGAGCTTGTGTTCTTCCTTCCCTCAAAAATGTGCGCTGGCAGCTGGTGGCAACGGATAACCAACATTTGTTGGGACAAAAAAGCACGTTGGCGAACCACATCCCAATTGGAAAGCGCTGTTTAGCAGGGCCCGCCACAAATGGAAGCCGTTTGGCTTCCTGGTTGAAAAACACTAAGGTAAGAGCGGGGCCACGAATATTGCGAGGGGCCCTCAGCGCCTGCGTCGTGCTCCTGGCCCGAATTTGTTTGCTGCGCCCCGCTGTTCAAAGGATCAAGCGCGAGATTCGATTCGGCAACGCGTTGCGAATGCAATGTTGGGCATTTTTCATGCATTGCAAGGGGCCGGTCATAAAATTGAATGTGTCCATGTGCTTAGGCGCTACCTCGCCGAGAAAGCTACGTTGTCTCCGTCTCGAGGTAGCAAGGTAGCACGCGAAGTATGCAAGCTGTGTCTATATTGAGCAGTGGTAGTGCTAGTAGTGGTACGTGGTAGCGGTGCAGCGGTAGTGGTGCAGTGGCAGTAACACTCGTAGCGCTAGCCGCGCTAGTAGCGCTACTAGTGCTAGTACTGCGGCGGTAGTCGTAGTAGTAGTAGCAGAAGAAGTAAGAGTAGGATTTGTAGTGGTGGTAGTAGTCGTAGTAAGTGGTGGCGGTGGTGCAGTGGTAGGAGTATTAGTAGCGGCAGCGCGCCGCTAGCGCTAGCCGTAGCAGTAGCCATGGTACCAGCCGTACAAGTGTCCATCATTTCTTTAACGCCCCCGGCATCGCCTTTAGCACGGCCATCAAATACCAAACTTCCAAACGCCAGCCTGGACAAAGCAAAAACAAAGAACTACTATGCCTGGAACAATCAATCAAAGAACGCCTAAGATATTGGCCGGGCTAGCGAAACTAGACTGCGACCACGCAGGTGCCAAAAGGTGGTAGCGAAGAAACCCAGTCGATCCAACATGGATGGCAAGACCCCCAATCAACAGCATCTGCCGCCGTGCAGGAAGCTCCGGTTCTTGAGGGATCAGTCAAGATCTGAAAAGGACACATCACCTGCAGCCCAAGATTGCGCGGGTACCAAAACGAAAAGGTCGAAGGGCTCAACTTCGCTCATCCTGAGTCTTGTGTCTCAGCAGTATCGACAAGCGGGTTCCGCTTCACTTGTTCAAATCCGGCCGCGACTAACTCTGCAGCCAAGCAGCAACATGCGCGAGCGAGGGACGTCTTTCCCTTTCTATCGCGCATGGTCTGCCCCTTTCCCAACCTTGCGCTGCTTGGCATTTGGAGAGGCTTAGGTAAGTGATAGGATGGGAGAACATCACCTGAGCGAGCGGAAAAACCTGACTATTGGGCGACGTCGACTGGGAAGTTACGGTCCTTGGGTTGTCACTATGTCGTTCCTGAAGTCATGTATGCCCGGTGTCCCCCCCCAGATGCCCCCCCCCAAAAAAATAAGGATTCAAATCTGTGTTGTCTTGCCTCAAATTTACTTGCCAAGTTGACTTCCTCAGGGCTCACCCCCCTCCCCCCCACAAAAAAACAGGAAGGAGCGTCAACTCTGTGTTGGCTTGCCTCAAACCACTTGTCAAGGTGAATTCTTCAGGGCCCCTCCAAACAAATTGTTCAACTCGGAGTACGCTTGCTGCATACTACTTGCAAAGTTATTATCCCTCCCCCCCCGAATCAAAATGTTTCAATTCTGTGCGTTGGACAACTTGCCCAACTAACTTTCTCAAGAACTTCCCCCCAAACAAAAAGCTTCAACTCTCTCTGTCGACGGCTTGGGCGCCAAATTGACTTTGTGTGTCAGAGTTCCCCCCCCAGAACAATGGATGGGATTGAATGATTTACCTTTGTTTGTTGCTCGCTTTAAATACTCAACTACTTGCCAAGTTGACTTCCTCGGAGCTGCCCCAAAAGAGACAGTTTGAGCTTTGCAGTTTGCTTGGCTGGCCTCCCTGGTCTTGGTTGGCTGGCCTTCCCCCGATAACAAGAAGGGCGCCAGCTCTGCGTTCGGTTACTTCGGGTTAGGTGCCAGCCAACTATCAGCAACTCAGTTGCTTTCTCACTTCCCCTCACTGAACAATGAACAACGAAAGAGGAGCTCAGTGACTCTGCAGTCGCTTGCATCAGGTTACATACACATACACACTGCCCCAACAATGAATACATTTTCTCTGCAGCAGAAACATTGTGACATTGTGCCCCAGGCTATTTGCCAAGTTGACATCCTCCCCTGGAAAAGGAATCAGATGACCTGAGCTGAGCCGACTTGCTTAGCCCCGCATCTTCCCTATGATTTCTTGGCTCAATGCATGTAAGTATCAGGGTTGCCCCTCCCATGAGCAGAACTTGCGCAAGTTCAAGGGGAAGTCAGGCATTAATTCAACTTTCAAGGGGCTAAGGTCCGGTCACACCAAAAGTCTCCCATGATTGCAAGGACTCCCTGTAGAAGAATTGCACCCATTCAAAATGCTGGATGTTGTCCAGTTCAGCAAACGAAAGACATCAGTCACCAAAGGGTAAGGTTAGCTCAGACAGCTCAGTCTCTCCCGGGCACTTCGCAATGGAAATCGATGATGAGCCCGCGAAAAAAATTGGTCTGCAATGTGAGCTCAACTCCATCACACCTCCATTGAACCAGAGTCCGTGAAATTTGTTTGTTATCCAAGGCAGAGTGGAAGTCATTGATGGGGTCAGCCTCATCGGCTACAAGATCCCAATGAGGCGATCGCTTTGGAGCGTGCTTCCACTCATGCAGGTTCTCAACAAACGCATTGCCACGGACAAGAAGCGCATTCAAAAGTATGACGAGTTTGAGCTGAATTTGCTTCCCGCATTTGAGTTCCACCAATTTGACTAGCCTAACTTAGTCAATGTGATCATGTGACTGCGATGGTTTTCCTGTGGAAGCAAGAATCTTCTCTAATGATGTCCCCGCTAAGGACCAACGTGGCAGTGTTCAAGAAGCACACGTATCCATTTGGCCTGGTTATGAAGCCCTCCTGCTCGTGTCCCGAAGACGACCCCGGTGAACAACATCAGTGAGAGCGCGTCGGCGAACCAAGTCTATTGGTTGACCAATGCTGCTGTTTCAACTTCATATTTGGTGGCATCATTGGTCTGGGGTTTTTCCAGCAGCAAAAGAACCCCTGAAGACCGCCTACACGCCGCCAAAGGTTTCCAGACTTTGGCGCTCAAGCTCGCAAACTGCTTACGCTCCCTGAGATTGAAAACATCACTTCGTGGTACGGCTGTGTGGATTGACATCTCTGTTGATTACACCTTGCTGTTGGGTGGGGCATCTTATGGCCAAGAAGTTGCAGGGCCAGGGAGGTCCTCACGCAAAGCTGGAGCATGTTTTTCGCTGCAAAGGATGAAGTGGTGTCATCTCACTTTGAACAACCGTCAGTGAGTGATTTCATTACGTTTGCTATGGCTCCCTCAAACAAGACTGGTCAAAATGCGTAGCCAGACATGGTGGGGCTTGCGAAAAGCTTTGCTTCACAGTTTTGGACACGTTTAATCTCTTTTACATGTTCCCGGGATTTCGGCTTCCCACACGTCTGACTAAGGTGGCCGGGATGAAAGCGAAGGCTGCAACGAAATCCAAGAATCAGAATAAGGGCCCGAGTTCTGCAGGTTCAACCAGAAGACCGTATCCGGCGTTATTGTCTGGACCTTACCCAGTTCGCACTTTTTCAGAACCTCAACTCATAGACTGACACAGCAATTCATGGTTGAGCCTTTGCCTTGCTTCAGCTGACTTAGAACTGCCACATCATTGACTGGCTGAAGGGGAGTGACCCGACATTCTTGGGCCCATCCCTGGTCGGTCAGATCTCTTCACTTCGCTCGGGTTTTGCTATGGATGGTTCAATCAGAAGCCTTTCTCAAAACTCATGCCTTACACATTACAAGAGCTTGAAATTGAATTATCCTGAATGGTGTGAAATTCTGAAAGTAACCAGGGGCCAATTACCAGCCGCTTGTTGAAAACAGCTGAGGTAAGCTGGGCTTTTTTTCCTGCTTCACTGGTTACTGTGGGCAGCGGCGGTGACTGAATTTCTGATTTCTCAGACCCGTGGAACCCTAAATGCAAAATAAAAAGTGACATTGGCTCAAGGTCACATCCAACAAGAAACGAATTGAAACAAGGCTGCTTTTCACAGATTCTGCTCAGCACATGCCGAGCAAAGACCCGCCGGCACTGATCGAGGCAGCCAAGAACGAGTACTTGCGGCGCGGTGAGCCAGTCAAAACGACGAGGTGGTGTGTGGAGGAGATATCTAAGTATATGCGCTACAAGCTTGCCACCACACCTGCGCATGGGGACATTGGCGCATACGCCCACAAGCTTCCCAAGGCAAGGGGGACAGACCCTGCTCAAGAAGTGTTGGTTTGGGAGGCGCGACAGTCAAATCCCTCCTCGGCCCCGCTTGTTGCCCACCAAGCCTTGTCGACGAAGCGAAAGGCGCCTCCACCCGTTGCACCGGTTGCGGATCCAGAGGAGGAACCTGAGGCCCTCT